GAAGAGTATGACAATTAGATTAGACTGTGCAGAAATTGAAATCTACACGCTAATACACACTATACTCATAGTCATGCAATGCTGATGTTGTTAACATTAATCATTTGAGAATAAAGTATAACAATAATAATAATTTGAACGGTTTGATGTGATATGAGCCAACCGATCTTTAGATTTAATCATCATTGGTAGCGATGCAATGGTTTTTTCCTCAGTTGGTCAGAACAAGCGTGGCAGACTTGTTACTTGTTCAGATGGCAATATACGGTGAAAATTCTTATTTGGGTCATATTCCAAGACGTGCTAGAATCTGTGATTGCGAAGTACAGTGAATATCCACCGGTGCGGTGACTGACTGCCACACATACTCTTCAGAACATTAGATTCATCCGCACTGGAGCCATGCCGACTCACAACCCACGCAAGCTAGATAATTCCGCACACAGCTACAATTCCAGGTTTTCAAACAGAGATGGCGACAAAGAGGCAAAACTTACAGACTGCAGCTTTAAGTCAATTCTTAGCAGTGTTCTTGTGAGTAATTCTCAGAGGCTTGATAAATAAGGGTCCAGAACCTCAAGCCACAAAATTTTTTTTCCCCCCATCTGCAACTGCCCTCAACAACAATTCCAATGACCCATCGTGATTTCTTATTTGCCCCCATGGCCAGTAAACATTACATTAACTTAATTCAAACTGTGAGCATTTGCACTGGCACATTTTGCACATCTTGCACTAATGTATACCTTAACAACTTCAACTATGATCGTCTACAATGCCCCACTTTCACACTTCGCCCACAAATGTACAGATGATATACTTCGATTTTTCTGCTTCTTATTTAAAGGGGTCATATGATGCGATTTCAAGTTTTCCTTTCTCTTTGGAGTGTTACAAGCTGATTGTGCATAGATAAGATCCCTGAAGTTGCAAAGACTAAAGTCTCAAAAGCAAAGAGATATTATTTATCAAAGTTAAGACTCTGCCACACCCCCCTAAAACTGGTTCTACCAACACCCCCCATATTATCTACATCATTTGGAAATATTATTAGCATAAGGCCACCTAAGCACGCAAAGAAAGAAGGAGGGGTTTCAGTAACGCAGTTAGTGTTGAAGCAGCATGTCAGGGAGACGCTGTGTGTTTCTAATAGGTTAAGCAAAACAATTGTGATTATTTCTGAGAACTATTTGACTGCAGGCAGACATACATTATGGTACAGTACAAATATTTGGAGCATCCCTTATTCTGTCTCTTATTTTCTTAAAGAACAAACACTTATTTTCTACAAGAATACAAGAATAAACACTATTTTCTTAAAGAATAAAAGATAAAGAATCACAATTGTCCCTTATTTTCCATTTCTGAAGTTAATTGGCAACCCTAATGATGACGTAATTATCTTTTGACTCCCCTGACAGTGGCACCTTGCTCAAAAAAACAAAAAAAACAACCTCAGTTGTTGGAGATATGCGAGCAAAAAATAATAGATGAAAAATGGATAATAGATAGCACCAATAAAGGCGGCACTGAAAAGGCCAGTAAAAAAATAAAAAAATAAGTTGGCCGGTCTGAGGCATGAAACTCCAAGGCTGAAAATGAGTCCCACTCAGGCCCTGAATGTGGATGAGATTAAGAGGAGAAACGGTTAGACAGACGATGTGGCTGTTTCCGAAATCGCCCCCTATACCCTTAAATAGGGCACTATTTGAGGGGACAGCCATTTTTATTGGTGTCCGAAACCATAGTGGACGTTCTCGAGTGCACTCATTCAATCCCACAATGCACCGCAAAAACGAGTGTACAACTGGTGCACGCTCAACGGCTAGAGAATACCCATAATGCACTGTGAGAGTCACGCGCCGAATGAATTCCCGCATCTCGCCAGAAGATGGCGCCCGCAGCTGAATAATCAATCCGTTCATTTTTACAAAGCGCTCATCCATGGCGTACAGCATAATGTACAACACGGGTTATAAATTAATTGTAAATTGATTATTAAATT